CCAAAAAAGCAATATACATAAATATAAATATAGAACTGTGTATAAAGTGTGTAAATATAGAAGCGAAATATTATATACATGTACAGGTATGATGACATAACAATGTTGATGTAATGACTGTAAGGTGTTGTAGAAGGGGAAAAATAATTTTAAAAATCTGCTGAATTTATTTGAAGAATCTTATACGTCAAGGGTTGATTTTTATTTTTTTTTAGTGTTTTGAATAAAGCAGAATATCCTTTTAAAATTCTGCTAAACCCCACAAACATTTTGGGCCCCATGGACCGGTTCCGTGGAGAGGTTTTTCCATGGACCGGAGGGAGCGTGGTTTCACCTGCTGCTTGCATCCCACGGATGAGGGCTTTGCTTGTTTACGTGGCCTGGTTTCTGGAATGCCACACCCAGGTGTGTTCTAAGTACATAAGACTTCTTATAGACTTCAGAAGAATGGTTGCAACTACAATTTAATCTGTGCAAACAAATATAAATAAAGGTAAATGTTCCCCTTGCACAATATGTGCTACTCCTTCCCAACTCTAGGGGGCGATTCCCATCTCCGTTTCAAAGCTGAAGAGCCAGCGCTGGCCGAAGACGTCCCTGTGGTCATGTGGTTAGCATGACTCAACGCCGAAGGCGCACGGAATACCTTCCCACCAAAGGTGGTTCCTATTTTTCTACTTTGCAGGAAACTGTTTGCAAAGGGCTCGAACTTTTAACTTTTGATGTTTGCCTGGTAGAAATTCGAAGTTCAATCACAAGTAAATGCCAAGTAATATCTAAGTGCGGTTTCCCCCATGCCTGGGAAGAAAAACTGCAAATACACAAAATGTCAAGTTGTGACATTTCTAGAGGAGGAGGGCCGGGCTACGTGAGATCGATGGTTAGTAGGAAGTAGGAATGAATAATGATTTCCTGCTGTCTCGCTTTTCAGGTCTAGCTGTTTTAACCTTTCTTTTTCAATTATTACGCCATTATGCCACCTTTTCAGGAAGTTTCAATAGCAAATCAATTAGCGCTTTTGTTATTGTTATTATTTTTTAAGGTCCTTCCAATCAGATACGTGGACAAAGTATCCATCTTTCTTGGCACCGATTTTCATTCATGTTCAATGGCTGAGATAAGATCCTTTGCCAAGAATCAAGCACTGTTTAAATGTCCTTTAATTTCAAGGAGAAATGGCAATGATTAACTTGGTTAAAGCCTTTGGTTGGTGCAGATCCTGTTTTTTCACTGCTCCACATGTCTGTTGTTGATTTCTGTCCTGCTGGAGAAGCTATCGTTGGTGGCGGGGTTTTCTTTACAGTTTTGGTAAATGTGGAAGTGTTTGACATCTTCAGCTTTTTGAAAACAATTATTCCATAATACCATAAGTTTTCAGTCTTTCCTTTCTCCTATTCCACCTTTATTTAAAAAAAAAATCTGATAATTAATAATGTAATTAGTAATGTAATATAATTCACTGGTTAAATCCAACCATTAATATCAATTTTATATAGACAGTTATATATGTAAGTCACGTTATATTTATAGTTAATTATTATAAATGGTCCTAACTTAACAACTGTATTAAAGGCGGAGAGAGTTAAAAAAAAAAACTGCTGTGAGTCCACTTAACCACCGCAGCAAGGAAGTTCTTAAAATGGGGCAAAACTCACTTAACAACTGTCTCACTTAGCAACATAAACTTTGAGCTCAATTTTAGTGGTAAGCTACCTACAATTACGATGATCTGCCTGTGATGGAAATATGTAGACAATTTCCGAAGGTATGAGGAATACAAAAAGTTACTACTTGTAGGTTACGTTTTGAAATAGGTTGGTTCATGAGAATGGAATTAGTGTTAGGTAATCCTCAACTTACAACAGTTCATTTAGTGACTGCACTGAACAAAAAAAAGATGACTTATGACCGTTTTTCACACTTACGACGGCTGCAGCATCCCCCGCGTATACCTTTGGACGGAAGATCAAAATTCAGACGCTTGGCAAGCGGTTCCTATTTGTGACGGTAGTCAGTTTTGTGATCTCCACGTGCGGGGGGAGCTGGGTTCGCTTAACAACCGCGCTACTCATTTAACAAACGCAGGGATTCGCTTAACCACCATGGCCAGAAAGGTCGTAAAATGGGGCAAAACAAACTCACTCAATACGAGTTTCTCCCACAGCAACATCAATTCTGGCCCCAGCTGTGGTCGTAAAGCGAGGACCCACCTGGACTATTCCTCTCTTTAAGGCAAAGCGCGAAGTTGGAGGAGAAAAATAAGTTGCTTTTCTTCCTTGTGCGAGTTAGTCACTGCGTGATTCGGTTTCTCCAACTTTTGAGCGGAGAAACCCGAGCAAGGGAAGGGATTTCCCTGGTCGCTCCCTGGATTGCAGAGCCCCGCGGGATCCCGGTGGGTTCCCCCCACGCCCGCATCAAGGCAAAGGGCTTCGGAGGGGCTCAGCTGGCGCCCACGGGGCTGCTCCAACTGCCTGCACCCTAGGTCAACTATGCCAAAGCCCGGGGCTCACCTGCGCTGCCCTCTCGGCCCGGCCGCTCCGAAAGCCAAGGTCCCACGTCCCGGGAAGGGTCGAAGCGAGCGCTCAGCTTGCAAAGCATCGCCCGGAAAGCGCCGCCCGGACGGCCAGGCGGCTGCAGGGGAAGGCGCTCCCCTCGTCGTCTCCCGGCGGGCTTTAGGACCCGGGGCGGCGGCGGGCGCGTTTCAAGCGCTACTTTCACTTCTTGCCGAGCAGCTGCAGCAGCGCCGGACTCCGGCAGGCGCCTTAGGCGGGGAAGCCGTTTCTTATTGGACGCGCCGCGCGTCCTTCAGGGGAGCCTGGAGGGGCGGGACCGAGTCTGATGCTGGTAGAGGGGGAAGCAGCTGCGCGCCGAGAGGGAGCAAATCCCGGAATTATGCTTATGCTTACTACTACTGCTACTACTACTACTACTGCTGCTGCTGCTGCTACTACTGGTGGTGGTGGTGGTGTCGTGGTAGTAGTGTTGTGGTAGTATCATGGTAGTAGTACAGTAATAGTGTTGTTGATCATTGCAGTCAGCCAGATGTTCAGACTGAGTTTGGCATTAGTATTAGTATTATTATATACTTTATTCAGTAAACATGAAACTCGGTCAACTGAATATTCAAAAGTGCATCACAAATACCAATGACTGATGCCAATGGTTGCTACGGGTTGCTGCCAGGGTCCTAAGTATCAACCAAGTACACTACTACTACTACTACTACTACTACTACTACTACTACTACTACTACTACTACTACTACTACT